GGGACTCCTGGAGTCCCTGCTCAGGGAGGGCCATCTTTTCTTCTCTGGAGGGAGAAAAGAAACATCTCCATCTTTGGAGTTTTCAAAACTGTGGTGGCTGCTGTGATCTAATGACAGCAATAGCTGTGCTCCACAGAGGAGGCTGGGCCAGAGGCAATTCCCATCCATATCTTTTATCTCATAAACATGAATGTGCTTCATTCAACTAAAAGACTGGTGAAAAAGTACCCCCCATCCAGCAAGTCAAAGACCACTTCAGTCATCATGCCTCATTCCACCCTATTTTATTTGCACACTGCAGTTCTACATCCACTACTGGCAAGCAAAAAGCTTCCTACAAACTGAAAATTTCTGGTGCTGTCTTACAAGAACGTATACAGCTATGTATTTTTTAGTGCTATGGTGGCTTGGATCCTTAACAACGCTAGCTGAACCTTGTTTTCCTTTCATGAAATATTTATAGCTTTTTGGTAATTTCAAATTCCATGCCAAGTGCAAGGTCCTACACCTGGGTCAGAGCAACCCCAGGCACAGTTACAGGTTGGGCAGAGAAGAAATTCAATGCAGTCCTGAGGAGAAGGACTTGGGGGTGTTGGTCGATGAGAAGATGAATATGAGCCAGTTTCAGTGTGCACTTGCAGCCCAGAAAGCCAACCATATCCTGGGCTGCATCAAAAGGAGCGTGACCAGCAGGTCAAAGGATATGCTCCTGCCCCTCTACTCTGCTCTCGTGAGATGTCACTTGGATTGGGTACAGTTCTGGTTTCCTCAACATAAAAAGGACAGGGAACTGTTGGAACAAGTCCAGAGAAGGGCCACAAGGATGATCAGGGGACTGGAGCACCTCCTGTATGAAGATAGGCTGAGAAAGTTGGGGCTGTTCAGCCTGGAGAAGAGAAGGCTGCATGGACACCTCATAGCAGCCTTCCAGTATCTGAAGGGGGCTTATAGGGATGCTGGGGATGGACTCTTCATTAGAGACTGTAGTGACAGGACAAGGGGTAATGGGTTAAAACTTAAACAGGGGAAGTTTAGATTGGATATAAGGAAGAAGTTCTTTACTGTAAGGGTGGTGAGGCACTGGAATGGGCTGCCCAGGGAAATTGTGAATGCTCCATCCCTGGTGGTGTTCACGGCCAGGTTGGACAGAGCCTTTGGTGAGATGGTTTAGTGTGAGGTGTCCCTGCCCATGGCAGGGGGTTTGGAAGTAGATGATCTTAAGGTCCTTTCCAACCCTAACTATTCTATGATTCTAGAATTCCAAAAAGCCCCCACTTCATTCATCTAAAAGCCATTTCTGATGATTGCATAATAAGAGATTGTTGCAGTAAACAAAGATAACAGTAGCTAGGTCAAGAACTACCTGAACAAATTAAAATTAGAAAAGCAAATAAAGCAACTTAGAATTCAACAGTACGCAGACACAATATTTAAGTGTATTATTCCCTACTATCTTTTAGGTGCATTACCCTGTACTACCCCATTCCTTACTATATATCTTATATTGAATGAACAGAAGATAGTATATTCCAGTCACCTAAAATAGCATTATCAACCTTTATTAGATGTTGGGGACAGTTCTGCTATGTTTAATTAGCATCTAAAAAAAAGCTTCTATTTGAAAGCAACAGAAATAATTTTGGATCTGCCACTGAAAGCTACAGCAACACATTGCTTTTCCCCTATTCACAGGTTAAGTCTGTTCTTGGAATAGTCACTTCCCCTCCTTCTCTTAGCACTCCCCACAACAGCAGGCAGTTCCTTAGTTCCAGCAGAGCACAGCCATCACTGGAGCTTTGAACATTTGGGCCCTTAGACTAACCCTATGGAAGGTTATTACACAGGTCTTCGGCCTGTATCAGACAAACTTTGACTAGGATTTCACTGTGCTTCCATTTGATGATGAAAATTTGGTTTCATAAGCATGTATATGTAGATTGCAGAAGAACATGTATCTTTGGTACCAGCTGCATCAGTTAGTAGAAGAGTACATCTAAAGCTATTTAGCAGTTTTAAAATAGTTGTAATTTCTATTCCCTTAACTATCTGGATGAACAGGTTCAATACAGTAGTTTTATACTGAATGAGCAAGAGACAGGAAGAATAAGCAATAATTTGATCTATTATCTTATAACCATTTAAAAAATCGTTACATACTAAGAAAATAACTGGTTTCTTGTTGGTACATACCAGGTTCTACCTTTGATAGTCCAAAAGCACTGGATGCACAATACTGGATGGATTTTAAAGTTATATTGGCAAAATGTGATCTAGCTACTGGCTGTAATATGAGAAATACATGCTAGAAGACAGACAGGAACAAGACTCATCATTTCTTTAGGGGAGGTGGAACAGGACTGATGGAAGAAACTCTTTAACAGTCCATGAAGAGAGATCATATTAAGAGGTGGATCACTGTTCTGATAAAGAAAAGGACATTCTTTCTTGCTCAATGAAAATTATACTTAATATATGCCACTAATCTTCTCGCATGCCCTGGAGACCTGTGAGCCTGTGCACATTGTTCTCTGATGGTTTTGATCACAACTAATTCATCTTAATGAGAGGGAGTGCTGAATTCAGGGGCTTTATCTCACTGCACTGCAATTAGTTTTCACTGGCAATAGGTTGACTTTTCCTTTATGACATGCAGGTTATGAATGTCTTATTTATTTTGATGACAAAATCACAATGATTGATACATATATGTTTAAATCATTACATCTTAAAAATTGCACTTCAAGGTCCCACTTAGGTACCAAGCCAACAGTGATTTATTTAAGGGTTTAGTGTGCTCTCAATTACTAATTTGGTTGCTTTTGAAGCTTTTTCTACTGGCCTCCACCTTCAGTTCCTATTTGGACACTCCTGCAATCCTCCATTTGCTATTCTCTGAGGACCTTGGTATCCAAACCACTGCCTTATTTTTTTTTCTTCCTCAACAACAGCAATAGAGAGCCAGTGGCAAAGAAATCTGGTAGAGAAAAAAGTCACCACTAACCAGATCACTAAAGCACACATCAGCTGGAAGAAGTTACTGAATACTAAGTAGCCTTGATTAAGAATACTATGCAGCCTTGATTCCATTAATCAAATAGCAAAATTCTACTTCAACTATAAAACCTGAAAGAAATACAGAAACGGAAAAGTAATTCACTATTCTGATGAGAACAAAAAGCACCCCTTTCTTTAAGCTCCTAAATGTAAGTGCTGTGTCAAAAATGCATTTGTGAATGTTTAAAGCTAAAAAGACCTGGAAGCAGTCTGTCAAAGTTAGAATTAGTTAGGTTTTGTTTTGTTTGTTTTGGTTTTATTAACAAAAGAGCATAGAGGGGAAAGACAGAAGTAATATGTTGCTGCTGGCCCTGAACTGCATTTGCACAGGCAATATACTACCTGGGTGATTACTGTGAGCAACTGGATTTATTTTGAAACATTAATTCCATCACAGATTCTTTCTACCAAAGAATACAGTATTATTTATATTTAAATTTCCTCTTCAAATCAGATAAAAACATTTAAATGCTCTGGTAGCAATTGCGGCAATTCTGGTGACATTTCCCATGGAGAGTATTATAAGCTTCAATCTTTTTATTTATGCAGGAAAATCAGGGTTGTCTAAACATGAGGTACTTTTAAAAGACAAACTTCTTTCGTTAGTCTGTATAGCAGGCAGACTTGTCAGAACTCTGTAGTAATGGGTATGTCTGGTAAGCAGACTTCTGGATAGCACATCTACAGGAGGCTCCCTGTTCCATTTCAGGTAGTCTTTCATCAAGTGGCACACTTCCAATTACACACATCTTTAAGCAAAATCTTCCCAAGGGCTTGCAAGGCAACAGGGACATTTTCTGACTTTTCATGAATTCCAGCCAGATTCTTCTAGCCTAAATCAGAAGGCTCAGGCAATTATTTGATTGCAAAACAATCCTGACTGCGTGAATGTAATTGGGACCATCTCTGCTCTGCCAGTGATCCCCTGTAAACCGCCATTACTAAATCCTAGATGCTTTCCTTGGCAGTCCAGGTCCTTCCACACCCACACAGCAGCGGAACACAACCTTTTAGCTTGAGGCTTTTTTGCTCAGCCCCATTATACAGGATTGTAAAGATGCAAAAGTGGAACTAAGACTGTAAAGATAGACTGTGGTTCCCACATTTTCTCTTTCCCAGCACATGCAAATCCCATTTCAAGCATAGCACTGAATGAACTGCAAAAAAAGACTTCATACTGTAACACCAGACATCTGCTTCTTTTGATTAGCTATAGATGTAGTTCTTCTGAGATGTAAGCAGAGCAAAGTAACCCCCCCTGCTTCCCCAGGGTGGGGGGAGGGAATCAACCCGTTCATCCAAAATCTAGTTCTATTTTCCAAGGCTGCTGTGCAACGGATATTAGTTACTGCTAATTTACCTTTTACTTTCCTTTATCTCCTAGATCATTTGAACACTGAGCACTGGGTTTCACATTTACTTATTAAAATCTGTTAGTGATCTCAACTAGCCCATACTGAGTGCTCTCAGAGTACCCAGCACAGGTCACAGCATTGCCATAAGACAGAAACATGGATTGAGACCCAGAAGTACCAGCACTGTTGGAACTTGAATGCATTCAGGTTGAACAATTACACCAGTAATTTTCCGGACAACTCTCTGCCACTACTTTCTCTTGGAAAGTGATGATGAAATTTGAGAACTACTCAGGCCCTAGTTTCAAAAACAAGAGTTTCTCAATACATCAGCATAATGAACTTCAACTATTCCATTGCTGGTCAACTTTCAACAATAAACAGAAACAAGAATCCAAGTTCAAAACCTCAGCCTTACTTTGCTATTACTTCCTTAAGTACGCATGAAGGCAGAAGCACGTTATTATTGTGCTCTTAAAAGCAATGAATTACTTGCATTTTAAGCTGCAAAGCTTGAACAGAATCATGTTAGAAGAACTTTACTAACTATAAAGCTTAGAATGGAAGAGTTGTGAAAATTCACAAACTTACCTAGGCATACTGTCCAGAAGTGATGCAATGCGCAAAGAATAAAACCCCCTGAAGTTATTTTTCTGTTCTAGTCCATTGTCGAGTCATCTAATGTTCAGAAGATCTTCCTGTTGCTCCTCCACAAGTTACTCAAAAAGGCAAATGAGGGCACACCACGTTGGGAAAGCACTCTACTAGATTAGTCAGCTTTACTGGATTAATTTTCATCATTAACAAACACATGTGATCTATCTGTGATTTAGGAAGATCTCATTTATAGCATACATTTCTAGATAGGTTTGCTTGCTTTTTAAATGCAGATAACTTCACTCATAGGAAGATTTCTGAAATGTCATACATAGAGGACTCCTCTCCACCTCATCACCCCCCACAATATCTCTTGCCAGTGTTTTTTACGGTGCAAGATAAAAAAACAAGAGCTTGGGTACACTTCTTGCACTGCACTTGCTCATGTTTTCCATAAATGCTAATGAAATTGTTCCCTTGTTTCTCTGGCACTGCAGCAGAAAGTTTTGAGTCCAAATGTTTGGGTTTTTTTTCCATGAAAATTACAATTGACTTTCCACAGACATGCCCTCTATCTCTTTTAAGAGGAGAGACAAATAAGTGACCAAGTGAAGACCTACGGAGAAATGCACAACTTCAGACTGACCATGGACTGTCATAAAATTAAACAACATTTACCCACCTCTAGTACACTGTCTACTACACTGTCATATAAAACAGGCCAACTGCTTGTGTGTTACTATGTACTTTTCCCACTATTTTCCATTCCTTCTTTTACTCTACATTTTATGCACATTTTGAAGAAGCTGCTCTTTTCCAGAAAGATTTCTGCTGACAGGAGGCTGTGCTTACGGTTCAAGTATCAGAACACATTGTGGGAGCTATTTTCCATCCCTCCTGTACTATTTCAGGACTGGACTCTGTGTATCTGTAAGGTAACACCTTCTGCACTGAGGGACTATGCATCAATATTTCTTCATGATCAACACTCTGCATTGATCCCTTATTCATAAATGTTTCTCACTGGTCTCATGTGACATAACCCTGCACATGCATTTCTGTTACTTCAATTTCTCCCTCTTTTCCCCCTCACAGGAATACTGGCTTGGCTTCAACTGCTCCAGACTGCTGGCTGCAGAGGGAACTGGGACAAGCTGCTTTTAACCAGCAGCAGATTGCTTTTTAAACCCTTTGCACAGAATATAAATCCTTGAATATTTTCCAGGAATCTGAAGTGTGTTGACTTCTGCGCTCAGACTAACACACACAACTGGGCTTGAAATGCAGTTAATTCTGTTCCCCATTTGTGATAGAATCATCAAAACACTCTCACCCTGTCTACTCTCAGCAATGTAACAAGTGGGTTTCTCTGTGTGGGAGTGGTAGGTTTGGGGGGGGTGGGTGGGCAGGGGGTGTGATTTTTAAATTATTATAGGTTTTTTTTATTTGGTTCCTTGGGCTAGCAGCCAAGATTTCAAATAGTTCCCACTACACAGATGACTAATAATCAAGGTGCTCCTCCGCCTCTCCCACTGAGTTGTGCAATTCCTTCAGTAAGGCATTACCCTATGCTATGTGCAAACTGAGTGTGCTGCTTTGCACCAGCAGCAGACAGCCTGGGAAAACACTGCCTGACTGGCAGCACAACTTTTTAATTAAGTAAGTAAAAAAGCCTTCAGACTCTAAAGCCTCTAGCGATGTTAAGTTTAGCTAAAAATCTTAGTGTTAAATTATACCTAACTGGGATGCATAGCAGCACCTTAAGATGCTGTGACTAAGGATATGATAATGCCAAAAAAGAAAAATAAATTGAAGCACAGCCTTGCCCATGCGAAGTATAAAGCTGACTCTGGTATCACAGAAAGCAAGTAATGCCAGCCTAGAAGGAAGAAAGAATAATCCAGTTTCACTTTATTCCACCTTTTCTTGTTTTTATATCTAGGCAACACTGATGCTTAAGCTGACACACAGCGAAGTCTGTCCACAGCCCGAGTCTCAATGCCATAGCTGGGCTTGCTCTGCAAAAAATTAAACAGTCAAACTGTGCAGGTCACAGACCAGCTGGGGCAACAAGAGATCAGCCAAGGACATGGACTGTGGCAGCTCCCTCTGAAGTCAGCATGAGGTCTTATTATAACCATCTCTTATCAAAGCATCAGTCAGATGAAAACAACAAAACAAATGTGGCCAGAGGAAAGAGATGCATTCCAGGTACTGGCACTGCCTCCTTTTGTTTATGCCCATTTCTTCTGTAGATAATCATAGAACATTTGTCTTTTGTTGCATGTTAGTCTAGTTTTCTAATTGCATTTATGCTGCTTACAAAAGTGTGGGAACAAGATGTGGCCTTCAGCTTAAGACATTTTTCACCCTTATTTAGTATGAAGCCTTAACTTCTTTATAAAGGACCATAGATACTGTGTCTATGCTTTTTATTAACAGTCTAAAGAAGCTTTGGGATATTTTTTACTACAATAGAATAAGATAGATATGGCATGAACTGAACAACATTGTCACTTACTCTAACATCAAAATACAGCAGAGCTCACAGCATCTTTAAGACAGAGAAAGTGGCTCTTTGTAGAATGACTTTTCCCATGGGAAGCAATTTTCTTGCAGAAAATACCCCTTCCCAGTTTCATTCAGGAAATAGTAAGAATTTCAAACAGGAATTAATTTGAGAGTACGTATTGCTGTTGTTTTCCTACTCAGTGTGATCTACTGGTTTGCTCACTAAAACAAAGAGGAATCCATCAAAATCTTTAATTCCTTAATCCAAGTATCTGAGCTAATGAATGAGATCATTAAAAGGCAAAAAAGTAGGGTTTCTTACAAGTGACCAGATTTCTGATTTGCTTCTGAAATACTCAAGTGCAGGTGTTAAGTAGACATAGGCAATTTATTTTCCTACAGCTTTATTCCATTTGTAGTTAGAATTTATCTGTTCACTCCTTTGGTAAGGACAATCTGTTTTAAAACACTGCCACTCATACTGCATGTGGCAAAGCTCCAGCTCCACATGGGTTCCCTGTTTAAAGCCTGTCAGTGCCTCAAAGATTCAGCTCTGCTCCAGTTCTGCTCTACCACAGCTCCACTACACCTTCATGTCTACACTCTGTTTGAACGTTTCCTTTAAAATCTTAAAAATAATCAAGCCTTACAACTGTTGATAAGGTTACATCAGTATTTTGCTTTCATTTAAAACAGCAGAACAAAAGATGAAAAACCACAAAGGCCAACCCACCAGCAGAAGTTAAACAGTCAGAGAACATTCATCCGGAAGGAAGCAAATGAAAAATTTCTTTTCCAGATTTCAGGAATACCTGACAACCTGGTTGACTTTTCAAATCACAAGATCCCTGCTATGTTCCCATAAGGGCTTTTAATATTGAAAGATACTAAAATAAGCATTTTAGTTTTACTCCACAAGGTGAAATCTTCATTGCAGCCCTCAGCACAACACACAGTGACTTGTGCTGTGTCCTGCCATTGGTGATGCAAGGCCAGTGAGATACAGTAGGCGCCAGTCATGATTTTGGACTCCCTTGGAAAGGTGCCTAACTTGTTCTTGCAGTTTAGTTTTGTTTTGATTCTTCCCAAGCCAAAACACATAGTTCTTACTGTATATGTCAGTCTGGCACCCACAAATCTACCCTGGATCTGAAAGAACCATGTAAGTACATTTACCATTTGATGTGGTTGCCCCATGAAAATAAAAGCAAAGCCTCAAGATGGGGTTTCAAGCAATCACCCTCCAAAGCTTTGCTGACTGTGGCAGAAAACTGCCCTGAAGGGGTCTGCAGAAGAACCTAATACAGACCATGGCACCAAAACAAACTAGGTTGGCTGCTAGAGTGTTGTGAAGACATTGCCATTGGGAACTCCTCCTCTGCTGTACTTTCAAAACCTTTATTGCACAACCTGAGGAGAGGAGGAGGGACATGCCTCTGATGCCATGCCAACACTTTAACAAGGAGTCCCCTGAAATGTTCCTATGCTAGTTGGTGGTAAAAAGTATGCATTACAGAAGCATAAACAGAGAAGAATGGAAAGAGCTAGATTACCTGCTTTTTTGTCTAAGCCTTTACCCCTCACTAGATCATTACATAAAATCAGAATAAGGTAATTCACATTTATCAAATGCAAAGGTCTCCCTTTGTCCTGTATGCTTCAGATTCTACCTGAAGACCTTTGTCTTCAAAGCCATCAGTTGTTTATCAGTGCTAGAAGCACTCCGAGATCATAGAATCATAGAATCATAGAATAGTTAGGGTTGGAAAGGACCTTAAGATCATCAAGTTCCAACCCCCCTGCCATGGGAAGGGACACCTCACACTAAACCATATTACCCAAGGCCTCCTCCAACCTGGTCTTGAACACTGCCAGGGATGGAGCATTCACAACCTCCCTGGGCAAAAAGATAGGAGATACTCCTAATGGCAGGAGATACTCCTGCCATTGATAACATTTACTCAGAATAACCTGCTGCAGGGCCATTGACATCTTGATATGTATTACATGCTTTAAAAAAGTAAATTAGGCTACACAAACTTAATCTACCTGGATGCCCTTCCACTGCAGGGCTTCCAAGCCTGCTACATTAATGGACTGTATTAGAGCTACTAATAAAAAAACTCCTTATATATAAGCGAGTGAAATATCAAATTCAGCTCAGTCAGAAACACTGTCCATTATCATCACTGAGAACAGTCAAAACAATCACCCCTTTTAGGGGGATGCAGCTCCAAATTCTGGAGATAGGACCCTCTTGATCACAAGTGCTGTAGAAACGAAGCTCCAAATTAGTTCAAAGTAACAAAACTCATACCAAGACACATGCAAGGCCAAGTTATAACAGGAGGAGTTTTTGAAAGAATGGAAAGTGGATGATGGGGAGCAACATGCATATTTCAAACACTGTCTTAGGCTGTGGGAACAGGGAACGCTGGGGGACTCCCATAGAAATCTAGTTTACATAAGTAGCATTTAGTACTATCTGCAAGGCTCAGTGACTACAATATTTAAGAAATGTGAAATAGCATCCAAATATTTAAGGAGCCATTCAGTAAAACAAAACCAAACAACAAAAGACACACAGTGCAGTCTTGTGCATTCTTGAGGCAACCTTTCAAGCCAGTTCTGCAGTCTTCAGCACACAACAGGGTCTTCACCAGCAATGGAATAATCCCAGCAGCTCCAGCTCAGGTAGTAACACCCGCTTTGACTAGACATCCTCTGAGCTGAAGCAACTGCTGAATTACCTTGTGAACCTGTTGTTGTGAAGCAGAAAGCAGTATGTCCTATACTGTTGATGGCGAGTTCACTGTACCTCACCTGTAAGGAACCAGACTCACTTGTTCTGATATACAACAGATTTTAAAAAATACTAAGTTAGCTATCAGATGGATGTTTCCAACTTCTTGGTTAATTCCTTTTTTTTTTGCTCATAATAGTAGAAAACCCTTGTGGATAGAGAATTATGTGAGCATATTCGTCTCATCATCTATTAAGAATAAAAGCAGTCTTGGGGGTACCCAAATTGTAAAGTCCATGCTCTGATTTTCTTAAGAAACATGCGAGATCTCCCTGTACAAGACAGTGTTGGTTATACCCACTCAGTTTTCACCACACCTATATCAGTGATGTTGGGCCTTGGCACTGGAGTGATCACAATCTCATTTTCCCTCCAAAGAAAGGAGTCAAAGGCAGTATTATCTGGAGATATCTTTGAGCAATTTGCTGTTCGTACAGCACAACATCCCAAGATTCTGAGAATCAATGTGCTGTAAGTAGTATCCTTTCATATAAATCTTTCCTTCAAACATCCTGCTAGCAGAGTTCTCCCCTTCTCATGTCTGGAATGAGCACACAGAGAGGGCACCTGAACTCAAGACAGTATTTTTCATGTTCCATGGGTGGCCCTAGGATTGTGTCAATTGAACTAGACAGCACTAGATAAACAATTCAGCAGCTAAGTCAGAAGACGAAGCAGAACAAATCCTATTAAGTATAAATCCAGCAGTTCTGCCTTTTGCTTTCTGTCCTCCTGCCATTTCTAACTTTGGCTGACAGCATTTCCTTTGGGAATGTAGAAAAAACATGCAATTCCCAACAGCTCCAGCTGCAATGATGAACTTCCTCTTGGTTAGAGGTACACACAACTAAATCTGTTTCCTTAAAACCGGTGAAAGTCCAGATAAATTTCTGTAAATTTCATTAGTCAACCTTTACAGGTATTATAGTGAAAATAAAAATCCACTCCATGGCTTTATTTGTCACAATAACAAGGTTCAGACTTGTGGGGGCTATTCTTCACTAACAAGGAGCCAAAACTTAACATCAATAACAGCTGGGAGGCTGAGAGTTATAAATTACAACAA